CCCTACACGACGCTCTTCCGATCTCCCCAAAACCCCAAAACCCCACAATCTAAAATCTCATCATAATTTGTGACCCAAGATTGAATTAATAATTAAAATAGATAATAGGCATCACTTAATATTGATTCATAAGAATTTTATATTTCTTTTGGAAGCTACAAATATTCAAAGAGAAAATCTCATGCTAAATTTCTTCATCATAATCAGAACCTTTTTCTAAATGCAGTTTATCCATAGCTAGAGCCAGCATTGCTTACATTGCTACTTTAGTTTCCAGCATTATTTCCTCCGCTTAGCTAAATAAATTCATGCTTTGAAGAGTGAGGGCTTATTTCATCTATAGCAGCACCTGCAGCATTCGTAACTTATCTTTTCTACTGGCCTCTAGTGTTTGGTACTTCTAGCATTGATTCCTTTGAAAATGCCATTACATAGTTATTCTAACTGCTTGAGGGATTCATTACTCCTGTTCCGCTTGCTTGAGTCTAATTTGCTGGTATGCTATAGTCATAAACACTTTATGTTTACTGGTTATTGCCAAAGGACATTTTATTTCCCATGAAAGTGTTTTACTGTGTATTCATCATCCCTGATACTCCTGAAACAATGCCTTTTTTGCTGCCTTATCTGTTAAAATTCATACCCCAGTCCTCAGCACTAGCTTTTTTCTTTGGTGCTTATTTATTCTATCCAGCCTTTGGGGAAAATTTGTTATTGCTATATGGCATTGAGTATGTATTTTATTCATCCTCATTTTATATGTACTCTCCTCCGCCAGTATCTACTCTTTGATTATCAAGAGGGTCATTACTTCCATCTCTGTTGTTCGAACCACTTAAACCAGCAGCTGGATTATTCCCTGGATTCGTTACTATATTGTTATTTCTCTTTTGCTTCATTTTCGAATTTAACTTTTGGAATGCTGCATTTTACTATTACTACTAAGGCATTTTATATATATTTTAAAGGCCGTTGTTTCCAAACACATTTTATGTAACTGTACCTGGTACTATATTATTTTTTGACTAAGGGGAATGTGAAAATCCGCCGCCTCTTGTATCAGAGTTTCCTTGAATTCCTTAGTTTTATTGAATTTTTCTACCTCTTATTGGGCTTTCATTTTAATAATAAGATTCTTCATCAGCCTCTATAATCACTCCTTAACCTTCTTGCTTTCCACCATAGTAATTTCCAGAAGAGTATTTAGGGTTAGTTCCTGTGTCATAATCATTAAGACTCTTGTTAACAGCTGATAGGTTAATGTCATAACTGTATTCAACCTATTGCTTATTGTGATTTGCTGTTACTTGATTGTATAATGCTGATGTGAGATTACTAGGCATGAAATTATTCATAGTAAAGTTATTGGTTGAATTATGATGGACAGATCCAGTTGCAAGACTAGGTCCTTAGGTTCCTAAGTCAAATTAACCGTAAAGTGAAGTATTCTTGATATTTTGCTGTTGCATCTAAGCTGCCTAATATTTAGAGTTATTCACGTTAAAGTTATTTCCTGTTTGATATGCTGACATAGAGCTGTTTCCTGCATTGGCTCCTTGATTAGATAAGGATGAGTCTCTTGCGGCAGCAACTTAATTTTTAATGTTCAAGAAGTTACTTTAACCTAATTAATTTTCTATAAATATTAAGATCTGTTACTTACTTTATTCATTTTTTCTTCCTTATGATTTAGCCTTAGGATCTTCTTACTGAATTGGTATTTGACTTAGTTTCTTTTGTTGACTAAAATTATTACCACCTGCTACCTTTGCAACACCCCCTACATTATTTCTCAGTCCACTTCTTGACCTTGAGCTATCTTAATTGTTTCTTGCAGCACCACTGTTATTAGCACTTTCCAGTCTTCTCAAATTTACCTAGCTGGACCTAAATTCCTAGCACATCTACTCTTCAGGCTGATCTCTTAACCCATCAAAATATGGATGGCATATTGCTTCTTTTGCAGTTAATCTTTCTTTAGGCTCCATTTTTAATAGACCTTCCATAAAATTCAACGCTTGCTTGGATAATTTCCCTACGTATCTCTTCTCCAACGTTTCAGGTTTGCTTATGTCTTAAGGAAACTTAAAACCGATAAACCTAGGATTCTTTTAGAAACGTTCTTATTGCTCTTACGTCAGAAGACCCAAAATTTTCTATATAACATAAAGCTAATCAATTTCTGATTCACCGGGGAATAAAGGTTCTCCATCAGTAAGTTCACCCATAATGCAGCCAATAGCCCAAATATCAACTTCCTTAGCGTATTTATCTCCAAGTAGCAATTCAGGCGATCTGTACCATCTTGTAGCTACGTAATCTGTCATAATTTAATTGCTTCCCCCTTTTTGTTAAGGGAGGTTTCTGGCAAATCCGAAATCGCACAGTTTCAGCATACTGTTATCCATTATTAATAGATTTTCTGGCTTGATATCTCTGTGTATTACATTTAGATTGTGACAATAGTTAATGGCTTTTAGCAATTGATAGATGTATCTGCGGACCATTTCTTGCTAAATATTGATTATGAGGATAAAGCAATAGTCAAATAAAGGAATCAATGGTTTAAAATAGCAAATTAAAATAGTTAAATCTAGATATGATTGACTTACATCGAGACCATTAGTACGTTACTCTAGTATTTCGAGAAGTGTTTTCTCAACAAACTCAAAAACTAGATAGAGTTTGCCTTTCCTATTATAATTTTGGTAATTATTCTAACAAAGTACCTTTTGAATGCTTCTCTTAATAGTACTATATTATCATGCTTGAGGAGTCTAAGCATTTTTACTTCACGCATTGTTGTTTTCTTAACAATTTCATCCTCCTCTGTATTTTCCTTAAATTTTTTTATCGCCACTATAAATAAAATTAGGATTAACAAATTGAGAAGTAGATGAAAAACTAGTTCGAGATATTACCGAATTCCCCAGTTTCTTTGTTCTTGGCTTTATATACTATACCGTAGGCACCTTCTCCAACGATACCAACTATTTCATATTTATTCATTGCTGTTTTAGATGGAATTAACAATAATATTAAAAAGAAATCGCTTTTCATTTTGTGAAATTTATTTATGATTTTGCACCATTAAGTATTTTATGGATAAGAGAAAATTAATAATTTATATCCATTAGGAAAATATGATATTTGAGAGACTCAAATAGAAGCTAATCAACTCTAGCACAAATGAATCTGGATCAGGGGAAAGTATCCAACAAAATGCTTCAAACATCATATCCATGGCAGGAAACTTTATTAAGAACGAATTATATGATGATTTGGTTAAGTCTAGTGCATAGCAAGCAATTAATACTCTTAAGCCAGGATAGAATCAAAACATTTTTGAACATCTAGATCAATAAATACTCGAAACCTTGCTTAAAGAGAATCGCTAATTAAAACAAGAATTCGTGAAGTAGAACAACGAGATCGAAGAGTTAAGAGAAAAAGTAGACACTTTAACCTATCTAGAACAAGAAGCCTCAGAAGAAAATGAAGTGATGCGATACAAAGTCTTATCTCTAGAGGCATAAGCTTAAATAGAGGGTGTAGATACCTCTGAGTTAAAAATAGTGGATGGAATAAGGAGAACCAAGAATGAATTACAGACTGAGTTAGAACTTTACAAGTCTTAGATTTAGGGCTACAAAATCCTGCTAAATTAATACGCCAAAACTGATCTTACATACATAGAAGATACACCAGATTAGAATGAGTAAACAACTGATCCAAAGATTATCATTGGCCAACTGAAGATGCTGTATGACTTGAATAAAGTCGAGTTAACTGAATAAGATTAAATATCCATTGCTTGCAGTCTTTATCTATAAGAAAAAGAGGTTGTGAGATTTTACAGAGAGAAACTTTTTGAAAATATAGCCAAGAAAGCTATTGAATAAGCTGAGTTTCTCTATAAAAATAGAGGAAGTTATAGACCTCAAGCTGAAAGTGGAGATGATAGATCCTAATCTAAGGTATTCTTAGAAAATAAGAGGCTTAAGAAGCTGGCTGATTAGCTAAATTAAGAGATTATTTAGTTGAAAGAAAGTAACTAGGATAAGAATTTAGCATTAGAGGCAGTGAAGCAGCATAAAAATAATCTAGAAAATAAAATATCAGTGCTAAATGGATAGATTTAAGATCTTTAATTGAACTACTTAAATTTGAGATAGTAAGCAATTGAAAATTAAGAGCTTACTATGGACTATATTGAACCAAATATTAGACTTATAAATGACAAAGTAAATTCATAGATGTCCTAGGTTAAACAGAGAGTTTAGGAGGCACACAAGGCAGTTTATGATAAGAATAAATAAATAAATGACTATTTTCACCAAACTAACTCTTTAAGTTAACAGGTTCAAGAGTTATAAAAGCAGCTATAAGAGAATTAAAATAATTCTAAGGCTATATATGAAAAAAATAGGCAAATTGGAGATTTATTTAATTAAAACAATCAGCTTAAAACTGAGTCTAACTAAGCTTAAGAAAAAATTGATAAAGTTGAGGATGAGATGAAAAAGCTCTAGCAAAAGCTAAAACTATCCTAGCAAGATCACTAATCAAAGATAAGTGAACTCACTATATAGAATAAAGATCAAGAAAAAGAGCTGAACAGGCTATATAAGGAACTTAAAAGTGCATAAAATTAAAGAAAATCCTCTGCTTAACAACAAATTTTGCCAACTATTGAGTAAAGTTAAAATTAAAACTAAGATATCGGTTTGATGCAACAAAGGGTTAAAGAATTAGAGTAAAATTTAGCTGCTAAGGAGTAAGAGCTAGTAAAAATTTAATATGATAAAATGCTTAGAGAAAAACTTGGTATATAGTAAGAGTAAGTTAGTAAAGAGGTGGAAGAAGCTAGAAAAGCTGTATATGAGAAAAATAAGATGATCAATGAATAATACAACAAGATCAGAGAACTTGAGGAAAAACTTAGTAAATAAGAAACAGGAAAAGATGTCAAATAGGAGTATGATAATATGCTAAGGGAAAGATTAGGTATTAAAGACGAGCAGATATCAAAAGAAGTAGAAGAAGCTCGTAAAGCAGTTTTTGAAAAGAACAAGATGATTAATGACTAATACAATAAGATCAGAGAATTGGAGGAAAAATTAGGATAATAAGTTTAGAGCAAGAGTGTAAAGTAGGAATATGATCAGATGCTTAGAGAACGACTTGGAATAAAGGATGAGTAGATTTCAAAAGAAGTGGAAGATGCTCGGAAAGCTGTTTATGAGAAAAATAAGACTATAAACTAAATGGCAAATGAATAAATGGAACTTAAGAGGAAAATAGAAGAATTGGAGAGAAAGGCTGGAATAATAAGTACAGATACTAGCAACTCTTAAAATTTAAATTACTCGTCTGCATCTTAATCATAACAAAAGCATTAAACTCTAGAGAATGACTTCTTTGGTGGTTTCTTTAGCTCAATTTAAAAGTAGATTTTTGGAGGGGAGGAAAAATAATAGTAGCAGCAGTAATAATAGATACGTTAAAATTTCTAAAATTCATATCAGTAAAATCTATTCGATGAGTAGCCTTTATCTCATAGTTAAGAGAAAATCTAACAAAAGTAACAATTATAAGTATCAAATTCTAAAACAAATGAATTTGATCCTTTGAGTTTTCTTAATGTTTCACAGCATGAGTAAAAATTAGATTCAAGATAGACTCAAGTTGATAACCCATTGTCAAAGTAACATGTGGTAAAAGGAATCAAGGTAGAAAATAAAGTTTAACAAAGAGAGATATAATCTATAAATTTTATGGCTTCACTATCTAATGATTAGGCTGCTAATAATGATCTTGATGATGATTTTTTAAGTGATTTCACTACATTTTCAAAGCCATAGGAAAAAGCAAAAGAAGCTAAAATAGAAGCAGTGTAATAGGCCAAGCCAATCAATCAAAAAGTAGAAGAAATTAAAAAGGAATCTTAATTCAGTTTCAGCAGTGCCTAGCAGAAATCAGAAGAAAAAAAGAAGATAAAAGAGACTAAAATTATAGTTAAAGAGTAAAAACTTCAGCAATAGTAACTTGATTTAGACTTTTTGAGCTTTACAGATCATTAAAAACCTAAGGTAGAGGTTAAAGTCAATTAATAACTTAAAAATGAATAGACCAATCCTGTATTCGATATCTTGAATTTTGATTAGCCTAAGATTTAATAGCCAGCTGCTTCTTTAGATTTCTTAGAAGATATGTTCTCAGGATTACTAGGAAATACTGTCAGTAAATAATTGGCTGCATAATCTGAATAGAATCAAGATCAAGATAATAAACCAGATATATTAGGAGCTAAAAGTGGTTGGAATGAAGAAGAAGAAATTATCATTGAAGAAGAACCAGTTGAACTAACTTAAACTGTGGATTATCAAGAATCATAACAGTTAGTAATAAATCAAAAGATAGTTTAAAATATTGAATCAAACCAAGTCCCATTAGTACAACAGATTGAGGATTAAAGCAATTAGTTAGACTTAGATGTTCAAGGTTGGGGTGATGAGGAAATAGTAATTAAAGATCATATTCCTGATTATTCACACAATGATTAACAAGAAAAAGTTTCTAGTGACCAGCATTAAGTAGATCAACAATAAATAAAATTGAAACAGGAAGAAGTTGGCTGGGGAGACGATGAAGAAATTTAAATTGATGAAGGCATTATTGAATAGAAATTCCAAGAAAATTTTGTAATATAATCTATTCAAGAACCCTTAAAAGCTTTTGAATAGGCAAAGTAAGATATTGCAATAATGGATCATCCAAATACTGACTAAAATTAAGAAGTGTTTGACTTTATTCCAAAATCTAGTAATGATGAATAGAACAGCAATTAATAATTAAATAGCTTAGGATGGGGAGATGATGATATATTATTAGACGAGAATAATGAAGTGGCATAAAATCAGAATAAAAATGCTGTTGACCTAATAGAAAATAACTAGGAATATGAAGTTAGTAAGAATTAATAGGAAATTGACTAGCATTCAAAACATATTTCGAAGAATGATGATATTTCAGAAGATATTAATGAGATTACTTAATAATAGAATTTTGATTGGCTTACTACTGAGCAACAACTAGAAAAGGTTGAGGATAATGTGCCACCAAGAACTGAAGATAGAGTAGTTGAGTCTAATATCATTGAAAGTACTCCCACTTAAATTCAAGAAGATTATTTGGCTTAAGCATAGATTTAAAACATAGACTCTGGAGAATAAGGATGGGGTGATGAAGATTTAATCATAGATGAATAGGAGACACATTAGAATTAGGATTACGAAGAAAAGATAGTTATAAATGAATAGGTTCCTGCTGCACTTATCGAGCAGATCAATCATCAAGATGAGATCTAGGAATAATAGGAGTAACAACAATAATATGAGGAAGAAGAAAAAGAATATGAGTAGAATTATTATGATGAGGAAGAATAGTAAAATAATGAGTATGATCTAAGCCAACTGCAAGATTTGGTCACAGAAGAGGAAAAGCAGAGAATGCTATCAATGATGGACTCTAGAATTAACGAACAAGTTTTAAAGTTCATCTAGAATGAAGACGAGGAGCAAAAGAGCGAGGAGTATGAGGAGGATATTAGCAATCAAGACTAAACTAGTAATGCTCTTAGATCAAATATCAACTTAGAGTAAACTTAGTATTAGCAAGACAAAGTTGAAGAGTAATAGTCAATCTAAGATAATCATTAACAAGATAATTAACCAGAAGTGAATAGCTAGGAAGAGTCTAAACACTCTGAGTAGGAAATTTAACAAGAGACTGTTTAGGTATTCAAAGCTATACCTTTGTAAAATGTTGACCTGATGCTAGATGACAATTGGGGTGATGACGACCTAGGTTTAGACTTTGTAGCAGATGATGTTTAAGATGATAAGAACTTTGAAGTTGCTCCAATTGAAGACTAAAAGTAAAGCTAACATGACATAATAGAATAAGAGGAATTCAAAGAGTCTGAAAAAGTAATTGCCTCAACTAATGTTGAAATTGATCTGGAAGATATGGGTTGGGGTGATGATATCCTTGACTTGGACGCAAATGATTCTAAGAAAGAGTAGGATAAGCCTAAGGAAAATAAAGAATCACAGCTATAAGCTAATTTTGATTTTGACTTAGGAGGTTTGACTTAAGTTAGCAAGGATAACAACTAATTAGATATTCTTGACATTATACTTTAAAATACTTAAAAAACTCAGCAGGTTCTAATGCCTGAATTATTTAGCTTTGATTTTACTGGAGCAGACTAACCCAGTAAAAATGAAGCATTAACTGGGTAGCAATTGACTTCTGCCTCAAAGGAAAGAGGTTGGTCTGCTGATATGGATGATATACTTCCAGATGAGGATATTGATAATCAATCAAATGCTTTGAAATAGTAGAATGATTTTGCTTTTGACATGTTTGCTAGCCAAACATAGAACTAGATCAAATAAGGATAGGTCATTGAAGAAAATGAAGCTCGTGTTTAAGTTAAAGCAGAATAGTCTGGATGGGATGATGAAGATATTATTGACATTTGATCAATACTTGATTATTTCAAAATTTGTTAAAACTTCCAATAATTGCATTTCAGGGGTTTTGGGGTTTTGGGGTTTTGGGGTTTTGGGG